ACAGAACAGAGGGTCGGGTATGTCTGGTCCCAGTCGGTAGCCGCAAGATGTGACCCACCTGTGTCTCGAGAAATGTAGTGCCCGAATTTAGTATTAAATAACACACGGAGATTCTGAAAACTTAGTATTCAAAACTAAGTTCTATAATTTCATTAGTAAGTTTAATATCAGTTATATATGTGAGCAATGGGTGGATATATTATAGTATTAAATTATTTTCCTTTGTTTTTTAAAGATATATATTTATTGATTTCAGAGAGGAAGGGAGAGGGAGCGATATAAACATCAATGATGAGAGAGAGTCATTGATTGGCTGCCTCCTGCACACCCCCCACTGGGGACCGAGCCCATAACCCCCCATCCCCAGCATGTGCACTTGACCGGAATCGAACCCGGGCCCCTTCTGTCCATATCCACTGAGCCAAACTGGCTAGGGTACCCTTTCCTTTTTAAAATGTGGCCACATGGACATTTGAAGTGACACAAGCCATAATGGGCCGCTGCTCTAAAGACAGCCTCCAGGTTGTCCTTTGAGAGCGGCCTGGATCTGGGAGGAGCAGGGGTTCGGGGGGAGGGGGCTGGTTTGAGGTGTCCTCTCCGGCTGTGACTCATCCTTCTCCCACACAGACCACGGTTACCTTGCAAACCTACATGTAAAGCCATCTTTTCTGGTTTTGCTTATTGAAATAGTGACAAGGACGCCTTTCTTCAAAAAGGACTCACGTGTAGCTGGTTATAAAGTCTTGGGGAGGACCCCCTAAAACACTGCTGTCGGCTGGGTGCCGTCTGCGCGTTTGGACAGTCAGACACCTGGCGTGTGGCCCGGAGGCAGAGCCACCTGGGTCGGAAGACCGTCCTGTAACTCCCGCCCTGACGGCCCTCGGCCCACAGAGGGGGGTCAGGCGGTCGCCTCTTAGGGCTCCCGTCCTCTGGCCCGAGCCAGCACGCCGTGCCTGGAGATCCCCGTTTGTCTGAGCTCCCCCTGCCCCCAGGGCCCGGAGCTGAGTGCTGGGCACACGCCACCCCTGCCCCTCCATTAACCGCTCTCCTGGCGCCGCGGGCTCTCCCCTCCTGTGTGGTTGAGAGTCCCCTCGGAGGGCCCCTCGGGTCTGCGTGCCTGCCAGTCACCTCCTGTGTCTTGTTTTCTAGAACTCTCCAAGTCCCAGAACGACATGACCTCGGACAAGCAGCTCCTCAGCACGGGCCCCAGGCCGGGCGCCAGGACGGAGCGGCGCAGCCAGAGTGACACTGCCATCAACGCCACCACCAGGGTACTCCCTTCCTCCAGGGACCCCTTTTCTCTTATAACAAAGCACTGAGCAGTCTGTAGACATAAGCATAGGCGCCTCTGAGGGGGCTGGGCCACAGGAAGGTCCAAATTCA